ATAAAGTTTGGTTTGGCGGTATGGTTCTGTTCTGGGCAAAAACCTCCCTGCCCATCCATGCAGCCTGTCATGAATGAGCAGGGAGAGCAGCAATAATAACCCCCCTAGGGGTAACAGAACAGAACAAGGCAGATATCATTAATGTACTTAATGATATTTAAGTGTAACACTTTATTCAAGATAAAGGAGTCTGATTAGCAAGGAATATCAGAAAGCCAAGTCTTGACTGTGGCGAAAGGAGGAGCTGGGGATGGAGGAGGGTAATTTGCTCCGGAGCAAGCTGAAAAGCTGCTGAATAATACTGAATAGAGCTTATATAGGAATGCCGCAATAGGTGTCGTATTCCTATAGGTAGATGTGATCAGCTGAGAATCAGCTGATGCAAGCTTGACTCAAGTGACCTGCCAGACCTAACACTTCATTTCAGGATCTGTAAGATTTCATGTTTTTGAAAGAAATCTCTTCTGCTCATCAATGCTGAATTTATTTGATTCAAAACACAATAAAAACAATAATATTGTGAAATATTGTTACAATTCAAAATAACTGGTTTTCAATTTAAATATATTTTAAAACATAATTTGTTCCTGTGATGCAAAGCTGAATTTTCAGCATCATTACTCCAGTCTTCAGTGTCACATGATCCTTCAGAAATCATTCTAATATGCTGATTTGATCAAGAAACATTTCTCATTATTATCAATGTTGAACAGTTGTGCTGCTTAATCTTTTTGTGGAATACATTTTTCCCCATTATATTTACGATACAAATCTTTTGTGACATTATAAATGTCTCTACTGACACTTCTGACCAATTTAATGAGTCCTTGCTGAATAAAAATATTCACTTCTTTACTCTTTAATGGTAGTGTACATATATTTGTTTTCCTGGAAGAGAAAGGCTGTAATTATGTATATCGTTTAAATGCTCATTTAGCAGTACTAGAATTGGGTTTAAAATAAGACTATACGAGTAAAATACAAAGCAGCGGGCCGCAGTCTCGTGTCTGCCGACTGCTTGTCTAGGAAGCGTGAAGCAGAAGATTACAGAGTGAAGAACTACAGATGACTGACGAGCTTCACAGGGCCTGAAATGTCACAACAGACGCCTGATAGAGCGGAGATCTACGAGCGGACGTGCATCTGGCCTGAACAGAAACAACAAACAGGTCAGTGAGAACATGCTCTGTCAACAGCCTGCGCAGACCCCCGGGAACAAAACCCAGCCTCTGTTTCCCCGCGTCAAACAAAGCTTTAACACATTTCCCCAGTAAACGCTCTATAGGTTTCACAACCTTGGCATTTGCAACAATCCACAACTTAATATTTGATGTCCTTTCAGACGATCATTAACTTTGTGACACACAGGCAAAGCTGCAAGTTTCTGCCCATGCGTACATGAAAGTAATTCACTATAAGCGCCAAAATGGACATCTTGGAAGTACGTCACAATTACTGGGGGTGCGAAAACCATTACTTTAATATGTTGCAACTCCGGCTAATTTGTCTTGGCTAATGCATGTGTTTGTTGCGATCAGATCGCTGGTTGTGAATTATCTCCTTCATTTCCTGCTCCTGTCATGTGCAGTCCAAACATGTGGCGAACATCTTGTTGCTCGAGTTCGACGTTAGGCGGTCACTTTATTTCACAGACGTATCCCCAAAGCAAACACTGACCAATGACACTCAACTAAGATCAAATCAATTAAGAATGTAAATAAAGATTTTGTATTATTAAATAGGAGTTTATTTTTTGTTAACAATTTGGCCATGAGAAAAATATCTTGGCAACACTTTACTGATTGTTTCTGGGAATTAACAAAAGATTTTTCTGTTGAAGTGTTTGTATACTACCATAAAACAAATCCAGGCCTGTTTGGACAACATCTTTGACCTTTAAACCGCCAGTCTTTTGGTGCTTCAAGGAATAGTTCAGCCAGAAATTAAAATTTGCTGAAAATGTACTCAAAGATGTAGATGAGTTTGTTTCTTCATCAGATTTGATGAAGAGAAATGTAGCATTAAATCACATGCTCACCAATGGATCCTCTGCAGTGAATGGGTGCCGTCAGAATGAGAGTCCAAACAGCTCATAAAAACATCACAATAATTCACACACGTTAACCAGTGAAAAAGCCAATCCTCTGTTGTCCTCTCACATAAAAATGCACCGACATATTTGTTTAGAACTGTTTTTGCTTGTAAACAGTGCTTGATCTGTGCATATTTCTCTCCTGATTCAGACGAGGTGACTTTTTCACTGGAGAAACATGCAGCTTTTTGCTTCACAAGATGTTCATTGATGGATTGGAGTGGTGTGGATTATTGTGATGTTTTTATCAGCTGATTCTGACGGCACCCATTCACTACAGAGGATCTAATGCTGAGCAAGTGATGGAATGCTGAATTTCTCCAAATCTGATGAAGAAACAAACTCAGCTCTGTCTTGGATGGCCTGAGGCGGAGTAATGTTCAGCAAAATTTCATTTTTGAATGATCAGAATGTTTACTATATTAATGTGTGGATGGCAGTAAACATACCCTGTTTTGTTCTTATCCAGCAGGCTGGGAGCGAGAGCTCGTATATACGCACAGGTGCAGATGAGCAGTAAGATGACCGTCAACAGACTCTGGAAATTAAATATGGCAGACTGCAAGAGAAAGAAAGAAGAAATTAATAATTAATCACTTATTAATAAACAACTAAAGTTATAAAACACTGTAATCCAAAAAAGTGGAATAATTAATGCACAAGATATAAATGGTTTGGTTTAGTTTATACTTTGTTACACTGACTATAGAAAGAGTAATGTGTTTGGGCAAAACCGTGACATTAGTTTTGGCATAACAACCTAGTATGTACTAATTTTAAGCTTAGTGTTGTTGAGTACTTGGTAATCTGAAGTAGTTTTTATATTTAAAATAAATGTAAAAATCTACAATGTTCTAGTAATATGTATAGTAGTACACAGAAAAAACATATTTTACATGTATTCTAACAGAGTGTTTTCTATGCCTATGCTGATATCTTGTGCATGATTTACAACTATGTCTGTATTTTAAGATGTTTTGATTTTATAGGTAACAACCATAACTGTCCAAACTGATCAATTATTTCAACTGATTTAACTCAGACATTAGACATAAGAATCCATAAAGCTTTAAAAGTAATAACAAAACAAAATATAAGTCCATTTGTGACAATTTTCTTTCATCTTAATTTTGTGATTGCAGTTTCTATTTTTGTTATTATTTATTTATGGAGATTGCATTAAAGGGTTAGTTCACCCAAAAATGAAAATTCTGTCATTAATTACTCACCCTCGTGTTGTTCCAAACCCGTAAGACCTTCGTTCATCTTCGGAACACATTTAAAGATATTTTTGATGAAATATGAGGGCTCTCTGACCTCCCATAGACAGCAAGGTAACTACCACGTTCAAGGTCCAGAAAAGTACCAAGATGATCGACAAAGTAGTCCGTGTGACATCAGTGGTTCAACTGTAAAGTTACGAAGCTACGAGAATACTTTCTTGCGCAAAGAAAACAAAAATAACGACTGTATTCCACATTTTCGTCTCTACTGCGTCACTTTGGACGCGCGTTCACGACAGTACCATGACGCGAGCGTGTGGCGGTGCCGGCACTGACCCAGATCTGGCGTGATGACGTCATTACACCGGATCTGGGTCAGCGCCGGCACACGCTCACGTCATGGTAAGTATTCTCGTAGCTTCGTAACATTACAGTTGAACCACTGATGTCACACGGACTACTTTGTCAATCATCTTGGTACTTTTCTGGACCTTGAACGTGGTAGTTACCTTGCTGTCTACGGGAGGTCAGAGAGCCCTCATATTTCATCAAAAATATCTTAAATTGTGTTCCGAAGATGAACGAAGGTCTTATAGGTTTGGAACAACACGAGGGTGAGTAATTAATGACAGAATTTTTCATTTTTGGGTGAACTAACCCTTTAAAAGTATTCAATTGCCAGAAATTATTTCTTTTTGTGCATTTTATGAATTAAGTTCAATGCTCCCCAGGGCAGAATTGATTTGTCATTGATTTATTTGATTACAAATACATATTACTACAATTAAATTTTTTTATTTAAAACAGTTTTCTGTTCTGAACGATGTATTTTAAAATATTATTTATTCCCGTGATGGCAAAACATAATTTTCATATTATTTTCATCTTAACTTTGTACCTATAACGTTGATCTTAACTGTCAGTCCATTTTTGCATAAATAATATTGAATTGCCAGAAATTATTATTATTATTTTTTTTTTTTTGTGCATTTGATAAAAAGTTGAATGCTCCCCAAGGCAGCATTTATTTGTTATTTGATCAAAACTACCATAAAAATTGCATTATTATAAATTATTTTAAAATAACTATTCTATATTTGAATATATTTTCAAATGTAATTTATTCCTGTGATGGCAAAGCTGAATTTTCGGCAGCTATTACTCCAATTTTAACTGTTTCACAATAACTTTTAGAATTGAATTATGTGGTTGAATAAATAACATCTAATCGCCATAAAAGAGGTGTTATGGTGCAGTTTGATGAGTTTAAGGCCCTCTTCTCTCTGCCACCTCACACTCGTAGCAGTAACGTTACTGAAACTGTCAAATATTGTATTGAACAGAAGTCATGAATGACAGCTCAGAAGAATAGTGCAGAACAGACTCTGCATCGATCAGCGGCTTTCTGTTGTTTATATTCCTGCTTCACTGCAGCAGCAGACAGCACTCTGAACTTCTCCTGACATCGCTTTCATTTTCACTGCACCGTGGACGGATATATCGCGACGACATTCAGGCGAATTCTGACTGCTCGTTTCTACTTAACTTGTATAAACTTTTCCAAAAATAATAAATACATTTTATACTTACCATCTTGATTTCCCCGGCCAGCCAACTCACACTTCCGGTGTAGGATGGAAATGACGTCACCGCTACGGCAGCCTGGAAGCGCGAAGCGACGAAAAGCCGGATGAGAGAGGGATATGAAATCTACAGAAGTGTGTTATTTCGAATTAAAATTAATTTAACCTATAACATCCATTTCCTTTCGGAATGAGGTGAGATTTTGCATGTGTATAGCGCACTGTGATCATAATATGAGGGAAACGCACTTGTTTATGATAACTGATGTTGTTTGTTTCCTGCCATAAACAAAACACAAACTAACATTCTTACGTTATGTATAAAACGTGCACCTAAAATATATAAACAATCAAGAAATAAAGAAACTGGAGAGTTAAAAATCCCATTTGTCATATTTAGCAGAACTATAAGAGCAGCGTTGAAGAGGGTTTTGTTGCCATCGTGTTATTTTCCCTTGAAAGCTTGTATTTGTTTTGATTCTATACAGAAAAGCACCATGGTAACCATAGTTAGTATTATTGTTGCAAGAAAATGATCATATTAACAACAAATAATTAAGTAAATAACAATATAATATATATAAAAAATGAAGATGTTATATTTCGATTTTTATGTATTGCTAATATGTTCAGTGCAAAACATAAGACCAGTGACCACATCAAATTAAAATGACAAAAAGTGATTTTATATACACCGAATACATATTAAATGCAAGTAAAGTGTCTACTTTAATGTTTCAAATAACGACTGACATGACACCTTCATAATGCACCGAATACATATTAAATGCAAGTAAAGTGTCTACTTGAAGGGGTGTGCGTAAGACTGACATGACACCTTCATAATCATGACATGACACATGAAGGGTTTTTATGCATGTTTATGACAACTGTCATTAAGTGTCATTTGCTCAGTTCTGTCATTTTTAATGCAAAGATGACATTGTTTGAGATGTCTTTGTTATGGGCTATGGCTAGGGGTAAGGGTAGGGTTAGGTCAAATAATGTCATATTTGCATTAAAAATTACATAACTGAGCGAATAACACTTATTGACAGTTGTCATAAACATGCATAAAACCTCCTTCATATTCATGACATGTGTCATGTCATGATTATGAAGGTGTCATGTCAGTCTTATGCACACCCCTTCAAGTAAAGTGTTACCCTTTATTTTTAGTCAAAATATGGGTGAAATAATGTTCAAACGGTTTAATCAGTTTAACAGATACATTAATGTAAAAATGAAACAACATTCTGTATTTATTACAATATATAAAAGAATAAATGATCATACTAATGTTTATTATATTTTAAATTATTAAAAATGTCTTGCTGACAAATGGCTAAAACCTAGCGGAATTGATCATTAAAATGACAATGAATTCGTATTTTGGGGATGCACTGTGATCCAATTAGAGTCTTGTAATGTCATCTAATATTTCTTGTTGTAAATATGCCAGGCAAGATTTTATGATTTAGTAACTATTGTTACATTGTTAAACTAAATGAATTTTTTTTTTTTCGGTAATCCTTGTTTAAAATGTATGATAGCCATTATTTTTAGCTTAAACATTTTAATGTATGAAAAAGAATTTAAGCTGTAATAAACTTTTATTATTTCATATATATAGAAACATACTGTCACATGTAAACAGGCATAGAGCAGGACTGCCAATTCCTTTTTTCAACACAAATATGATGTCTTTCTACTGATCACACTGAGGCTTTTGTTGCAGCACTGTCTACTTCCTACGTTTCGATTCTGTCGCTCTAAAATTGTGTGTATGGATGTACACAACACAAGCCGTTTGTTCTCTTTTCATTGAGGATTAGCATTTTTTGCCTCTAAAAACTGCAAATTATGGGACTTTTCCCTTAAAAATAGACTTGGAGAATTGATTCATTGTGTTTTGCTTCCAACCACTGATGACTTTGGGGAATAGATGGTGCTCAAATCAGCAAGCCATAAATAAATCTTTAGCTTTTGATGGATTATGAATATCTCTATTCATGGTTGGATATATGGAGAGAATGTTGCTCAGATAATTTGCAGGGAAACTGTTTAATTATATTGCTAATATACCATAATAATGTTCCAAAGAAAATAATACTTTTTTTTTAAATATAGCCCACACATTTCTTCAATTTGTTCTTCATTTCTTTCTTCATTTTTTTCAGGGTTACTTGTGCATATTTCATAACCTTCCTGAAAGAGATTGTCAGTTGTATAGAATGTCGGTCTTGTTTAGACAAGAGGGTTTTGTTGAGATGGTCGAGACCATCTGTGGACCATCGATGGAGCGCTTTAGAGTGGAATGTGTCTTAATTACACCTCAGTCAGTGGGTTTTGGACACATTGATTATCAGTTTGACAAGCGAGTTAAAGTCAGTCGACGTATGTTGTCCTTCACCTTTCCCCTCACCGCTGCACATTGTCAGCTCTGACCTGAGAGGTCGGCCGTTTCTCACACATCACTCACTGGATTCTCCGACTCCTGTGAGGTCTGCATCCATCCGTTAGTAGCCTGCTGTGGAGTTTGTAGAATCTTCCACAAACTTCTACATGTTCTCTGACCTTTGCTTGATCAGTTTTTTTTATCTATCAGGAGTATAGTAATCTCCACTCATTGCACACATTTTACCATTATTTTATATATATATATATATAAACACACACACATATATATAATGCTATTTAAATTAAATATATATTTAGTTTATTAAAAACTATATGCACAATTATTTGTTTGTGTATTCGTTTTTTAGTGTTTTAGTTTTTAATATATTAATATAATTGAGTTATTCACATAGTAAATAAATGTTTATAGAATAATTCATACATATTAAAAATGAAATGTAATATATGATTATAATAAATTTTTTATGATGAAATAATTATATAAATGCAATTTTATTTAATTAAAATATATAATAATAATTAGTTTATTAAAATAATATATATATATATATATATATACAATTATATCAAAATAAAATTAAGTATATATTTTTCATATCTAATTATAATAGTATGTATTCTAGTTATTTTCATTCTATTCATTATTTTGTATTTTAATGAATATTATATACAGTATATGCGGCAAATGGTTGAAATTAACCATGTTTTTCACAATGTATATTTATAATTATTAGTGCAGATACTTTTGAAGTTGTTGAATTATGTTTGTTCATTCTTACAGATTTAATAGAATGCAGCATGTTGTGTGTCATTTTCTTTGTGTGTTAGCTGTGTGTGATGTTATTATGATAATTTTTCTGCAGGTGTCGCAGCACTAGCATACGTCAGATCTCCATTGCCTCTGAGCCTCATCGCACGTTTTTTCTTAAGCTAGAGTGGGCTAAGGATCTTGGATCTGGTTTTGTTATACTTCTGTCCGATGGCGTCTCTGCGTGGAGTGGTGAAGGTACTAGGACATCAAATGATTCCATTTAAATGACATGAAGAGACTTCAGAACTGCCACGTTTCAAACCACAGTTTCGTTTGTTAGTTTCAGAGGAGGATGTGTCCCGTGAAGCCCAGGAGATCGAGATGGAGCTGGAGAGGTATGTTGGTGACCTGCACCTGGCTCTGACCGGAGAGGGACCGGCAGCGGAGGGGGAATACAGCTTCCACCTGACACCTGAGAGACCCGGCCGCCCCCTGCTGCAGCTGTCTTATGAGAAGGTGCAGAACGACATCTCAGTGAGTGGCACGCCTGAGACCGCTACACAGCACTGCGTGATGTAATAGTCTCGCTGATTGACACACGCTCTCATATAGTATGCAGTCAGGGTACAAAATGAACACTCACCTGGTGCCAGATGCTAAAGATAAAATGGAGTTTTGAGAAACTATAGCGTTACGTTGTTTAAGTCAAATTGTAAGGATGACTTGACTGAACAACTTGGTTTAAAGTTGAAAGTTCACATCAAAAGTTTATCCTAGATTCTTCTTCTCTGATATGATGGATGGATGGATGGATGGACGGACGGACGGATGGATGGATGGATGGATAGATAGATAGATAGATAGATAGATAGATAGCTGTAGATGGATAGAAAGATGATAGTTTGATTTGATTGATTGACTGAATTTTTTTAATTGTTGAAATGAGTCATTGTTCATTCACTTTATTCATTCATTTGTTTACTTGTTCACTCGGCCGTTCGTTCATTTTTCATTTATTCATTCATTCATTTCCCTCCTTCATTGGTTTCATTCCTCTATGTGAACACATCTGTTAATTCTTTCTGTTATGATTCTGTCTGTCAAATTGTCATTCGTTCACTCTTTGTTTTCTTGTTGGTTCGCACCATTCGTTCACATGTCCCTCTCCTGCAATGGTTCCTCTATGAGAACACATCTGTTTCATGGATGAGAGAAAGAGTGTGCGATCTCTGCTTGCTTGAGGCTCTACTGAACGCGTGATTGGCCAAAATCGCTCTCAACACTTAACCATTCCCAGAGAACTACCGCTCTTTATGTCGAGCTTTAAAGGAGGTTCCCCTCGTTTGATCTCGTGCCAAGCTCGAGGGTGCCGAGGAACTCCAGTGTCTGGGAAGTCTTCGGTAAACTCTAACGTCAAGACCTGGATCACGTAGAATGTTTCTTACTGTACTGCATTTGTTGATGTTAAATTCATCCATCGTTTCCATCTGCGTGGTGTGAATGTTGCAGAAATGGTCTGTTTGTAGTGAAATAGTGTGGCATAATTACTGAAGCCTTGAGAAAGATAATAAGACACTGGCATAAGGTTTGCTTTGTATAAAATGGGTCTCAAGAGAGGATTCCTTCCCTCTGAACGTCTCATCTCCATTTCAGACCTGGCTTAAATTGAAGTCAATTTTGCACGCTCATTTTTATGGGATTAAGTCAGGCCTTTTGACATGAGATGTTTTCAACTAGTGCCGGAGATGTAGAGATGTGCTATTACTGTACTGTTAACCTGCCCCACATAGGCCCCTTAGGGCCCTTTCCATATGTTTAGCTCTCTGCTCACCAAGGCTGCGTTTATTTGATAAAAAATAAAGTAAAAACGGTAATATTGTGGATTGGAAATAGAGAAACTGGCCCTTGGTAGGGGAGGAAAGTTCGGCCAAATGCGTAATTTTGCATAAAAGATTCTTCATAATGTTTATTAGGTTGCTTACTGACATTTTGTGGCCTACTGTAACATTGGTCTTGAGTGTAAACGGGAATGAATATTGCACAATATAACCTGCAATTATGTTATTATGGTTACAAGAAACTCAAAAAAGTATAATGTATAGTTTACTGCCGTTCAAATGTTTGGGGTAGTTTGGGTTAAATTGATCAAAAGCGATTGTAAAGACATTTACAGTGTTACAAAAGATTTCTATTTCAAATAAATGCTGTTCTTTGGAACTTTATATTAATCTAAGATTCCCGACAAAAATGTCTTACAGTTTCCACAAATATATTAAGCAGCACAACTGTTTTCAACACTGATGATAATAAAAGAAATCTTTCTTGAGCAGCAGATCAGCATATTTGAAGGATTTTTGAATCGCGTGAGTAAATATATTTTAAAACATAATTAAAATAAAAAGCAGCTATTTGGAAATCTGATAATATTTCACAATATTGCAGTTTTTCTGCGTTTTTGATCAAGCACAGCAGCCTTGGTGAGCAGAAGAGACTTCTTTCAAAAAAATTTAAAAATCTTACAGACCCCAAACTTTTGGACGGTAGTGTAATCTGGGTTTAAGTGCATTGAACTACCATTACGACTTCTACGCTTACAGGAATCTTTTTTTTTTCAAACTCCAATTGTCCTTTTATTGATTTTTGAGTGTGTTTAGTGCTCCTGTAGCTTCCCACAGACATGTCTGAGCTCCCACGCTGTAGTTTATCCATTTATGCTCTTGTGTAAAGCATTTCTCTGCTTACTTCCTTGGCTCCATACTGTATATGCTTCAAAATCTGGACCAGTGCTCTTATGTAAGTGTTATTGTGCCTGTGCTAGGATTTAGTAAATATGAGGTAATTAATGGACTGCTGAGACATGAGTATTCTGTTCAATATTACATAAGAGCTACAATTACTTTTTTTTAAAGTCATTAACCAAATAGTATTTTTAGTCATACTTTCTAAAGCGAACAAGCCCCTAATGCGAATTATTATAGGAATAGTTCACCTAAAAATTTTAATTTGCTGAAAATGTACTCACCCTCAGGCCACCCAAGATGTACAGTAGATGAGTTTTTTTTTTCTTTATAAGAACAGATTTAGAGATATTGAGCATTACATCACTTGCTCACCATTAGATCCTCTGCAGTGAATGGGTGCCGTCAGAATGAGAGTCCAAACAGCTGATAAAAACATCACAGTAATCCACACCACTCCAGTCCATCAATTAATGTCTTGTGAAATGAAAAGCTACATGTTTGTAAGGAACAAACTGATCATTAAGGTGTTTTAAACTTTAAACCTTTTTTCAAAATACCAGTCTATAATCCATAATAATGCTTTCTCCAGTGGAAAAAAAAAGTCCATCTCCTGGTGTCCTCTCACATCAAAATCCACCCACATATTTGTTTAGAACTGTTTTGGACTGTTTTTGCTTGTAAACGGTGCTTGATCTGTACATATTTCTCTTCTGATTTAGACTTTTACGCTGGAGAAACAAATATTATCGATAGAGGACTCGTATTTTAGCCAGAAGCGTTGATTTAATTTAAAATGCCTTAGTGATGGATTTGTTTCTTACAAACACACAGCTTTTTGCTTCACAAGTAGTTAATTAATGGACTGGAATCGTGTGGATTATTGTGATGTTTTTATCAGCTGTTTGGACTCTCATTCTGACGGCACCCATTCACTGCAGAGGATCCATTGGTGAACAAGTGATGTACTGGTAAATTTTTCCAAATCTGTTTCAATGAAGAAACAAACTCATCTTGGATTGCCTGAGTACATTTCAGGTGAACTATTCCTTTAAACCTCTTTACGTACGTTAGACATGAATCGTTCCTCAAATTGTGCAGCTAGCTAGATAAGGAGAGGTTTGTGATTGTGGTTATTTTCTACATTTTAGAAGCTATAGCTCCTGAAGGGAAGTTACTTTCTAAGTAATGACAGACTGTTATTTGTTTGTGGTTTTATTCAAGCTTCCAGTGGGGCTGGTAAGACACAGCTGCTGCATTCTTCAGTGCAACAGCTGACAGAAGACCCTTAAAGACTCATGCGCAAATGGTCAGGTTGAGGTTTGGGAAAGCAGGTGTTTGGCCTGCCAGGACAGCTCTGGCACAAGCGTTTGAAGACGGCACTTTCATTACAATATCCCTCTAAATACTTAGGGACACCCTGACTTCTGTTTCCTAAAGCATGTATTACTCCTCACTCATGTTCCTTAAAGGTGGGCCGTCAATGTCAAAGTACAAACATGCATTTTCTTGAACAGCTGAGGTTGCATGTGATGACACAGTGGTATTCCTGCAATCTCAAAAGGATATTACAAATTTCATTAGTAATTTTGGAGAAACACTATAGATAAATGCCAATACTGAGTCATTAAAAGGTCAAGTCATGAAAAGTAGGATTTCTGTTACTCGTTTGAAATAGTTCAGTATAATATATTGACTTAAACAATCATAATGCAAAGCTACGCTCAGATATACTATACTATAGTATATTAATATACTACTATATTATAGTAATATATTTAGCCTGTGTAATATATTTATGTGCTGATATTTATAATATATAAAGATATTCTGTTTATTAGTGTTGAAGAAAGTGATTGCCTTTTTTGGTGAAAAACAGATGTGCAGTGATTCAGGTGCTTAGATGAAAGGACATTAGTTCCCATGCCCACTGCCAGGACCACGTTTCCTAATGTTGTTGGTCCTGTAGCTCACGTTGTGCTGTGATAGGGCACACGGAGGTGGCATGAGGTGAGGTTGGTGAGGAAATAAGGATCTGATTGGTTTAAATTAAACAGCCCGCACTTAAATGCTTACCATCTGTACCTCCAAGTATTTGATTTTCGTAGTTTCTCATGGTTTCTCATGCAGACGCAAGTGCCAAATCCAAAATGATATGATCCGGTTTACTCAAATAATCCAACAAACAGCAAACATGAGGGATTTAAAACGTTGCCATGGTTTGGCTCTCAATGCCTCCATGTATTTGTAAATGCTGTAATTACTATCAGACCCACGTTCAGGGGGATCTTGCGGGAAAAAACCCTGCTTTTCTTTCTCTTGTTCCTTTTGCTGTTAATTGTTTAGCACTTCTCATGTGTTGGCGCTGAAACAAGTCTTTTTGTGGCACATGTGGAAGCGTTCCTGGCAGCGCGTGGAAGATCCCAGCTGTAAACTAGCTTGACACTGATGCTCTGCATCCCAGAGCTGGGCTACACAAACTCCTATCCAACACATGTGGATGTGTTTAAACTGAGCCGTCATCAAGTTAACCGTTCTCTTCAGGGTGACACTGTTGAGACTTAGAAATATTGTTAGTGTATACATGTTATGTTTGATTGTTTTGTAAGTTAGCTATGTGTATAAATGTAAAAATTTACTTTTACCTATATATATATAGGGTAGAGTGGGGGAAAACGGCCCCCTTAAGGACTGTGTGTTCTAAAAAGTTATCATGGTTTTAGTGACAATGACATAAATCATAAACAATGTATGAAAAATGTCCAGAGTTTTCATGTTATTAGATTTTTAACAAAA